GCCGTACATGTGGGAGAAAAGGACTCATTACTTGGAAATATAATATTATTATATATTCGCCTAAAACTTCAACATACAACTAGTGTGAGATTAAACCTGTGTCACACTTTTCTCATAATGGTTTTATTTATTTTAATACCTAAAATACCCCTTAGTTATAATAGCGATATACCCATTATGATGTCACTTTATAAGGGTATTATAATATATATTTCAATCTCCTTCATGTAGGCGAATGATTGGTGCAAGTTTGAATCCTACCAGAACCAAAACTTATATTTTCATCTGATTAAATCATGAATTTCCTACAAATTGTCAGTGAAGGATTAAGCTGCGAGAGTTGCTCAATCATTGGTGAAAATCTTGTCGACACGATTTTTGAAACATTGTTATTAAAATTGTTGAATAATTTATGATAAAAAGATTGTGAATTCATTGAGTAAAGCATCTCCGATTGAATAACAAATAAGTTATTGTCAGAAAGAAGACGATCTATTAGGAGATGAGTCACCACCTTCTAAGAGCGTACCTAATAAGATGAAGAGCCACCTCTTACTATGTAGACTTAAGGATGAAGCTCCTTCACATGCACCCTATCTCCATCCAACTCTTCTTTGTTGGGTGAAAATTATTAGAGAGCCACAAAGTCACCATTTTTCTACTCTACCAAGTGATAGCCACTAGAGACGATTCGACAACCCAATTTATTGATCTCTAGACTTTGCAAGAAGATCTAGAGATTGCTTACATCATCATTATCTAAGGAAAGTTTTCGAGGTTGTGGACATTGCATGACAATCCTCTCAAACACTCAAGATTCTAGTGCATTGCCAACGCATCACCGTTGTAACACCAGAACTTTATTTTTCTGCTCTCAACTTAATTTTCACTTCATTTAGTGATGATTTGTGTGATTTAAATCTACCAAACTATTTTTCATTTAATGACGACCCTTCCAACTTTTATAGATTTTAATTTGATCAATTAAATCATTTGTAATCACTTATGTTAGAATCACTAGGTAGAACTTTATTTATGCTTGATTCACATTCGTCGAGTATTGACATCATCTTGACATATGCACCCTTATTTCCCTTTTTTGCAAATTTTAAATATATTTTATTTTTATTTCTTAATTTATAACCTATAAAAAATTATATTCTTCAAAAAAAATTCTAAAAAATTAGCTGATATTATATTATATCCCTGTGATTGACTTGAAAATATTTCACTATTTTAAAAACTTTTATTGAATTATAGTTGATAGATTTATTTAGAAATACTTCTAAATATCTAAAAATTAATATTTCTAGTTTTATAAATTTTAAATATGTGTAATTTACTATACAATGACTAATTCACGTCAACATTCTTGTGATAGGAAGTGATGAAGTAGGTATTCACACTACTAAATCATACTTATAGCAATACTTCAACATACGAGATTTAAGGATTCCACAATACTTCTTTGGGATTGAATTTTCTTATCAAGATGAGAAACCCACTCTCTCAACAAAAGTATGTTCTTGATATGCTTCAAGAGATTGGGCTACATGTGTGCAAGATAGAGTAGTGACCTATGGAAGCACATCCACACTTTTAGAATATATCATCTCCGCTTCTTGAAGATATTAGTCAATAAAGATATTAGGGAAGATGATTTACCTCACTATCACTCATCCCAACTTCATGTACATAGTTAATGTCCTTAACTAGTTTATGTAGGAATCGACAAGTTCATTGGGAGGGAGCTTTATGAATTCTTACATATATTAAAAGAGTTCTTAGGAGAGGACTTATTTATCAAAGACATCAGCATCTTTGGATTGAAACTTACTCAGATGTAGGATATACTAGTGACAAGGGAGATCGCAAGTCCACCACTAATTATTGCACATATGTGGATGGTAATCTTGTCATGTGATGCTCTAGAAAATAGAAGATGATATCTTATTCGAGTGTTGAGTACAAGTATCATACCATGCTCGAGATGACATGAGAGATGGTGTGGCTAAGTTCACTCTTTGAAGAACTTGACATCTCATCTTCTATCCCAATACTTATGTATTGTGATAATCAAGTTGTCATCTTCATTACTACAAATCTTACATTTCATGAGCGGATGAAGTATACTGAGATTGATTGTCATTACATAAAGGATAAGGTAATGTTAAGTATTATCCCTACTTCGCACATTGTTTCATCTCATCAGCTTGTGAATGTCTTCACTAAGAGTCTTACGAGAATCTCTTAAGATACAATGTGCATCAAGTTAGGCATGTTTGACTTATATGCTTCAACTTGAAGACTATTAAAATAGGCTCACTAGGCTTATCAAGCCTAATTTAAACTTATTCCCATCATGTCTCTATTCTTCTTCCACAATCTCCACTTCTCCTTTTCTCTCTCTTTCTTTCCTTCTTCTATATCACCTCATGCTCTCCTCTTTTTCAATCATCAATTCTAGAGTTTCCTCTTCTTCTTGTCAACAAAAAAAATACAGCTATCACAATTTTTTTATTTATCACATGGATCATAAATAATAGTACTTATCAAAATCTTTCCTAGAAATGATGCCAAAATTTGATGGAATATTTTCTATCATTATAAAGGAATTCAACAAACCTACAATTTATAAATGCTAAAACATAAGTCAATTTAGAATAATTTAATCCATAGTGGTTTTCTTGGTCAAACACAAGGAAGATAAAAAAATTAGTTAGTTATGTTTATAATTTCCAATTGATCAATTAAATTTTAGATTTTTTTTATTTAGAAAATTAATAAAAATAATTTTAAAATAAGAAAATAATATTTTATGACATCATCATACATCAGCCAATAAAGAACACCCCCAAAATGGGGTGGGTCACCAGAAGTATGTCAACTCATATTTCTCAAATTCAAAGAAAAAATACTTCAAAATAAACTTTCATTTAAAAACAAAAACTATTAGTAACACATTTGAGAACTAAATTGAACTTTTTATAAATTATAAATTAAAAATTTATGTGGGCTCAATGCACCAAATGTATTCCTACAGGATTTACAATCGAATAATGATGATCACAACAACTATCTCTTGCTAGAATCAATCAATGTACATGGTTCGACTCTAAGCTTGCCACAACTTCTAGAGAAGGATCCTCAGAAAAAAATATTCACTATTTCTATCAAGAGAAGAGTGGGACCAATTCGTGGGTGAAGTTTAGCTTCTGTAGCAGCTGAATCAAGAAGAAATACATCATTTCTATTAGATGAATGATTTAGGTGAATCTAACATTTATCACCACAATAGGAGAGAGAAAATAGGAGAGCAATAGATATAGATCAAAGGTACCCTTTTGTTCCTCCCAAACATTTTTCTATCTTCATGTGTGTTAATTCTGTTGATTTCATCAAGTCATATGTTGTATTGCTTGCTGTATTTGTTCTGTACGCTGTTGATGTAGAAAACCTAAAAACTGAAATTAGTCTCATATTTTAATTTTATTATATTATTATTATTTATAAAAATTAAAAAAGGAAAAATCAGAATAAATAAAATTATAAAATTATTTTGATAATAATAATAATCATTGATAAAACCTATCAAAATATTTTATTGTCAATTTCTTCATGTAATTTCTAGAAATTAATAATAGAATTATATAAACAAGTTTAATATCATTTTTTCTATATTAAATTATATATTATAAAATATTAAGAATTTTATCATATAATTAATGAGAGTTATCAGAGTTCAACTAGTATCTTGATTGAAGCCAACGTCATCCATTAATTGTGTCTTAGGGTGGAAATGTTGTCAACATTTGGCTTACTCCTCGTCATAAAAGTATAAAATGATGATGTAATTTTAGAGCAAGTTATTATGTATGTGAAGGGTGAATTGATAGATTTAAATTCAAAAGGATTAAGAGATCCTGAAAAAATTGTGTTTATTCATGATTACATTCATCAACTTGTACAATAAATTTTACATTTTTATAACTTATGATAGCTCATTGTTAGTTATTGCACATTAATATGTTGTATATTGACTATTTATTATTTGTATTGTGATGATTGGTAAGATGGGAATCCTCTTGCAATGTCAAAGGACCAGCCATTCCTTTTCTCCTTTCAGACAGAAAACAAAAGTAATAGGGTTCTATAAAGTTATATTTATCAAAAAATGGTGGCATAACTTTTGTCAAAGAAACTATTATTCAAACCTCATTTTCCATTGAATCATGAGTATGCAAAGGATCATCATGTGGCACTCTATCAATAGAAGATAAGATTTGTAGAAGGTGTTGTCTAACGTTCTATATCATAGTCATGTACAACCATGTGAGATCCAGGAGGTCATCATAATCCTGCCATAGATGGCAATTGATACGGCTACTCCATCACTAGAGTAAGCAATGATGGAATGAACAGTGTCATTTTGCATCAGCAAATAGTAGCACAATGATTTAAATACAGTCCTCGTGTAGTCATGGCTGGCTTCTTTTCAATCAATCAATAATGGTAACAATTATGGAAGAAGCTCCAATGGTCTCGAAGCTGGAGCCCAAGAGAAACCAATGTAGACAATCTGGTGGTTCACCCCAGCTTTGATGACATCATGTATCCCCTTTTTTTTCGTCGATATTACATCGACAACGAAGTGCAGGCATTTTATAATGTCCCACTTGACCAGATTACTAAAATGCAGTCATCCTCTTCACCAGATTATACCAGCGATACAAATCCTTTTTTTGACTTATCCCCCCCCCCCCCCTTCTCTCTCTCTCTCTCTCGATCTATCTCTATGTATCTATCTATCGATCTATCTATCTCTATCAATAAATCTATTTATCTGCCTATCGATCTATCTATCTCTATCAATAAATCTATTTATCTGCCTATCGATCTATCACTCGCACTGTTTGATGTATGCCTCCGAGAAGGGAGGGAGAAGGCATCTCGATCCGCACGCCTCTCAGTCGGCACGCAATTGTCGGTGGGAGGTGGTTTCAGAAGAGGGTGAAGCATCTGTGTCTCAGTCCGGCCTTAGACCCATACTCTATTCCTAACCACATGTTGCAAATGTTTTGAAAATTCGGTCAGTCATCGGTTTTCCGTCGACAAGATACCCGCCCTTCAATTTCCCCAGAGAAAACTGTGCATGACGAAGCTCCATAAATCACGCCTTGATGCAACAGCAAACCTAGAGCCCAGGTGCTAACATCCGGTTTCGTCCGAGCTCCACCATCTTTCCCCATAATGGAGGACCTGCGATCCTGGGCTACCGCCGTCCTCCTGGGCTTCTTCTCCCTCTTCATCATGAAGCTCTTTGCATACCACCAAATCAAGCCTATCCTCCCCCCCAGCCCCATGGCCTTTCCGCTCCTCGGGCACCTTCACTTAATCGGCTCCAACGTCCACCAGTCCCTTCACAAGCTCTCCACAGGCCTCGGTCCTCTGTTCCATATCCGGCTGGGCTCCGTCCCGTTGCTCGTGGCCTCGGACGCAGCCACAGCCAGAGAGCTTCTCAGGGACCACGAACACAGCTTTCCCGACAGGCCAAGCTCCGAAGCTATCACTCACCTGACCTACGGGGGCGATAGCTTCCTCTTCGCTCCGTACAGCGATTACTGGTGGTTCATGAAGAAGCTGTGCTTGTCCGAGTTGCTGGGTGGTCGGAGGTTGGTGCAGCTACAGTGGGTCAGGCAAGACGAGATAGGAAGGTTCCTGGAGATGCTGCGCCAGAAGGCGGAGAGGCGAGAGGAGGTGGACGTCGGGGCGGAGCTCACAAGACTCACTAACAACGTCATCTGCGGGATGACTATGGGTAGGAGGTGCTCCGGTACGGACGGCGAGGCCGAGCAAGTCAGGAGGATTGTGAAGGAGACGATGGAGGTCATGGGCACGCCCAACGTATCGGACTTCGTGGGAATCTGTAAGAAGCTCGATCTGCAACACCTCAAAGCAAGGTACGAAAACGTGCATCGCAGATTCGACAGTCTGATGGAGCGAATCCTCGAGGAGGAGGTCCTAAGGACAAAGGAGTCTGGCAAGATAGGGGCCGACGGCGCTGTCCGGTATCTCCTTCGCGTACTACTGGACATAGCGGAAGACGAGGGTGCGAAGATGAGGCTCACGAGAGATAACATCAAGGGCTTCATTCACGTAACTACGACAACTCCATCCTCACCATCTTCTTCCATTTTCCATCGACATTTTACGGTCCTCCGCGCAACTGGGTTTCACGTTGCGCTTTCTTTGGCTTTTACTCCCGCTCTAAACAGGATCTGTTCATGGCCGGCACGGACACGACGTCTGTAACAATGGAATGGGCCTTGGCGGAGCTGATAAACAACCCGGCCGTCCTGCAGAATGCAAGGCGAGAGATCGACTCGGTGGTCGGGGTATCCAGGTTGGTGGAAGAGTCGGACATTCCAAACCTGCCCTTTCTCCAGGCGATCGTCAAAGAGACCCTCAGGCTCCACCCAGCGATTCCCATCCTCCCGCGCCAATCAAATGCTCCATTAAAGTTCAGGGGCTACGACATCCCGGCAGGAACGTGGATCGCGATCCATGTTTGGGAGATCGGCAGAGACCCGATCCACTGGGAGAATCCGCTGGAATTCCGCCCGGAGAGGTTCTCGGCCAAAGGGCGGAGCTTCGGTGTTGACGTCAGGGGGCAGCACTACCATTTCTTGCCCTTTGGCAGTGGCAAGAGGAGGTGCCCCGGTATATCCCTGGCACTGCAGCTGATTCACACAACCCTGGCGAACGTGATACACTGCTTCGACCTAAGTGTCGAGGGCGGGGTGGTGGACATGACGGAGGGACACGGGGTGTCCTTGCCTAAGGCTCACCCGCTGGTTTGTACACCGAAGGTCCGGCTAACTCCCCTCCTTTCAAGATCGGCCATCAGCACCAGCAACCCGGACGAGGCGTCCTGTTAATTTGATCGTCATTAAGCGTTGAATCGGGTTATCGGGTCAATTAGTTCTAGTTGCCATGCGAAGGATGGATCCAAAGTCAAGAATAACGGGCTTCTATTATCTTTACCCAAAATGACTGTTGGGTATACTTGTTCCTAAGTAATGTGTGTGTTTGTCTTATTCTGAAAGCAGATAAACGAGATTGTAGGCTTGAAATTGTAACTCAGAAGTATCATAACACATGCCAAAGTTCTGAGTTTGTCAATTATCTTTAAAGGTTAATATTACTGTCCTTGTTATTTATGTTCACATGTTAGTCTATTGCTTTAATGAGGTAAAAACATCTTAACGAGGCTTCCTTTTAATACGATCATCACTAAGCGTTGAATCTGGCTATCCAGTCGACTACTTCCATTTGGGATAAAAGGGAACGATCCAAAGTCGAGAATAATGGCATTCTGTTATCTAAACCAAACTTGAGTGCTACACTATACCTATTGCCTATGTAACGTATGTGATTTTCTTGTTCATAAAGCAACTATATCACATTCTAGGAATGAAACTGTGACTCCTGAAGGAAGTATCGTATCACATGCCAACGTCCTGAGTTTATGGATGATCTTCGACGGGTGATATTGTTGTCCTAGTCTTTTATATCAAGATCATTGCTTTAATGAGAAAAAACATCTTAACCTTCAGCTGGGCAGGCTTTTATACTTAACGAATGAGATTCTCACTTGATTGTTTAACGTTCAGGTCCTTATATCTCACCGTGGATCTAATGGTGAATTTATTTGTTGACTTAGTATCCCAGTTACCACATGGAACTTGTTACCTTTCCAGGCCGTCCAGGCTGTCCCTCCCCGCTTTTAACTATCTGAGTTCTCATAGTCTGCCTAAAAGCTTTAGGGTGAGACTTGTTACCCAACACACACCTCGTAGGTCAAATAGTTCATAACCCCTTGAATTTTTTTGTAGAACCTGAAATTTTTCATTTTCTTGCAAAAATATGCAACTATGAGAAAAAAGATACAAATACATGCTCTGCCGGTATAGCCTAATCAAAGCAATGATAATCTACTGACGCTACAATGGTCACCGATCACTAGAGAAGGCACTGCCAGCAGCGAGGGAGCCTTTGGCTCGGGAGAAAGGAGAGAAATGGTAAAGGCCAAATTTTGTGGTACATTAATTCTTAAATGGATACAGGGTTTTATAACAGTCCAAACCTAGTAGGTCGGTTCTGGTTAATTAATTTTATTAACAGGGTTGACTCGTGAATGGAAAGGATGTACTTACAAAAACTAAAAATATACATAAAAGAAGGAAGATTGTTGTATAATTATAATCTCTCATCCTCTAACATACCCTCTCAAGATGATGAATAGATGTCATCAAATTTCAGCCTAGATTTGGGCTTCTAGAAGGCTGGGCCACCTAATTCTTTTGGTGAGAATATCTGCCAATTGTTTATGAGTCAAACTATGGTGTGCAAATGATGCCATTATCAATCTCGATATGCTTAGTTTGATCACATTGCACCAAGTTGTGTACAATACATATGGTGAATTTATTGTGTCAATGCAACATGATTACACCCCTACGATTTGATTCTAAGGTCTTATAAGATTCTTTTGGCCCAAGACTTCTCATTTTCCTTATTGTTGATGCCTTTGCCTTTAATATTATAGCTTAAAATTTATTTATTAAATATTAAGTCATTTTTATAAATGAATTACATTGAACTTCAATGTATTCAATGTGATATCATATGCCTTATATGACTAACAATAAAATCTAAGGTATTAAACTTGCAATTCAAAGATTCTTTGTGATAGGAACATCTAATCATTGATCAATATATATTAAGGAATCACCCTTGATTAAAGGAAAAATACATGGTTAAATCAGTATAGGTAATTCATGATCATGATTTATGTTTTTTTATTTATTGAAGCTAACCTTGAAATGCAGCGTCTAATCTTCCAAAATAGACTTAATTTTCTACACACTCATGTGGATAAATTACTCTCTCACATGGATAACTTATTAATAGAGTTTGAAAATACGTGGCACAAACAAGTCTCAAACTCAGTATTTAGTAACAATTTTGGTAACATATTCCTTAAAAGAAAATTGTTTTCTATCAAGTGAGGAGGTTTCAGTTCAAATTTCAAATCAAATAAACGAGAGAATAAAAATCTTCAAAACACAAAATGGTCAAAGGCTGTTATGACACGTTCAGAAAAATGGCAAGCTCTCAAACAAGTTTCCTAAATGTTCGAGACCCTGTAAAACAAGGAAATTATTTAAGGAAAATAAATAATATATAAGGAGAGGTTTGAGAAATGAATCAAAGCTTTTTGGACAAATATCCAAACAAGAATCTCAAGCTCTTCCTGCTAGACTCATCAATGACAAACACAAAGCTGCACCTTGATCTACATCAAATTTTGGCAAGTCAAACAAAATCCAATTCAAAGGGGAATGCTCTCCATTAGGTACTATGATAATTGAGTGATGAGAGGAGAGGTTGTTGGCTGAAAGCACAAGGTGCTAGTAGCTTATTGTTAAAGTTAGATTTTTGTGTTTTAATTATTTATATTATTTAATTTTATTTTTTACTTTTAGAATAAATATAGGAGTATATTGTTAATTTTAGAAGTCTGAAGTTAAAATACTTAGCACAATTTTGATTATTTCAAAATGTAAAAGAATAAAATATAAAAATATTCTGCCCACTTGCAAGTTAGCACTCAGCAACTAATCTAGAAGGATGCTGCATGTTAAAGCTAGATTTATGTGTTTTAATTATTTTTATTATTTAATTTTATTTTGTTAACTTGTAGAATAAATATAGGATATATTGTTAATTTTAAAAGCTTGAAGTTAAAATACTTAGCATAATTTTTTATTATTAAAATAAAAAGAAAAAAATAGAAAAAAAATCTTCCACCCATTGGGAAGCCTACACTTGGTAGTTGACCTAGAGGGGGAACAACAATCGAGTAGGTAGATTCAGACTAGGGGAGCCACGAGCTGGGCTCAAGTGGCGAAGGCCTTGCTCCGTGCACGTGTGCGTCACTCCCCTTCCACTTCCTAATGGCCAACCAGTCGTGGGGCAAGGAGCACATGTGCACACGTGCACACATGAGGGCAGACCACCTTATTGCCTTCTCCCAAGATGGTCTTAGGCATTATTTTATTTCGAGAGAAGGGATCTAGGCTAAGAGAGAGAAACTTTGATTTATATTCAGCTTAAATGATGACAAACTTCCGATGTGGGACTAACCGTTTTGGTCTATTTCAATGCAGCCATCTGGAGCATGATGTTATCTAGTGGTATTCACTGAGCCACATCATCAGATTAGCTTGATCCTATGGCTGGCGAACCGCCACAATACCAGATGCGTAAAGTGATCCATTAGTGGTTCGCAAATTCAACACCACTTAGCACACATGTGGCCTTAAAAGGATGATCTGATGGCTAAGGTGGTGCCACATTACTAGGAACTTAAGTTCTCGATCGGCATTGATTCATGACGGGTTGATCTTGCATCACTCAATGTGCCACGTGACCAAGCTCATTTGATCTAGTGGCTCACGAAGCGACACGATATCAGAACTTAAGTTCTCGCATGTATCACTATTAGGGATATAAAGATAATAATCAATTATTATCTGGTAAACCAAATATTATTGATTCTCCTTAAAATCCTAATGATAGTCGTGAATATGGCAATTCATTCATCCCTCTTTTTGCACAATTGATGTCTTTGACAATTGGCAAGCTCATTCCTTCCTCCCTTGACTGCACTCAAGGCCTCCGATGATTGGTCAACTCTTCCCTTCTCCCCTTAGACAACAATGGCAACATGGTTGACCCCTCTTTCAGTAGATCTCTCTAACAAAGTGGCATAGCACTTCTAGATGATACTTCTGCGACTTCTAGCGTGGTGTGGCACGATCGAGAACTCAAGCCATCACATCGGTGTCTCTAGTTGTCTAGGAGGTAGACTAAAACTTGGGCAACAATTTATTTCCTACTTTTAGCATTTACTTACTTACTTTTGTCATTTATTTACATTTTACGACAAGTTCTTTCTATTTCATACATGTTTCAATTGAAAAAAGTAGAACTAATTCAAAACTTGATGAATGATCTTCGTTCTTCTTTTGAATCCTTTGAAACTCGTGTGAGATCAAGTTAAGATTATTTCTAACTTATTTTCTATTGATTTTTGCAATCAAATCTCAACATATTCATGTTCTTGGTGTTCTGCAAATAACGAGTATTTTTCTATTTTCGAATATGAAATCACCGAGATCAAATGTTGATTAATGAGCGTTCAATAGTTAAAATAAGCTGGAGACATTCACAACTGACCTCATGTCATGTGTGTGAATCCTCGCGCACACATTTGTCCAAGAAAACAAGTTGACCTTATTTCTCTCTTTTTTCATTTTTGTCTTATTTCTCTCTTCCCTCTCTCGTAGGACCTTTCATCTCTCCCTATCTCTCATGAGATCTCTCCCTTTCTCTTCCTCTCTCTCAATCGATCTCCTTCTTTCTCTCTCTTGATTGATCCCCATCTCTCTCTTTCTCTCTCTCTCTCTCATGAGACTTTTCTCTCTCTCTATCTCATGTGAGATTTCTCTCCTCCCTTCTCTTTCTCTCTTTTTCACGGGAGATCTCATCCCTTCTCTCTCTTGTGAGAGCTCTCTCTTCTCTCTCTTTTTCTCCTTCCTTCTCTCTACTTTCCTTTATTCTTCTCACCTCACCCTTTCTATTTTATTATTTTTGTTAAATATTAATAAAATACTAAAATCACTTTATATATAAAGTAAATTAGTTTTCACGACAAATTAATCAATCTCCCTATGTTTGACCTAAGACTTACTCTTATACTAATATTTTATTAAGTCTTAGTTATAAATATTTTTAGATAGTGTACATTTAAACATAATAACAAGTGCACACCATTGCGGTTGAGTGGATAGACCCAAACTAGGGGAGCCAC